CAATTAGGTGAGTACGGCTGAGAGAACACCAAGAGCCAAGTCTCACTAACTCCCGGCACCTCTCCGCCAAGCTGGCGCTGGACACCCTCTCCACGCTGGGAGAACCAGCCAGAAAACGTTCAAAATCTATCAACTATCCTGATTTCGTCAGGATAGTTGATATAGATAGTCGTCAGGGTTGAACCAGGAGTCCTATTGTGTGTTTTTTTATTAATATATTAGGTAAATCTGCATTTGTGCAGCTACCCTAGACTATATGAAGGGGGAGTACAGTGTCAAAAAACTAGCTATGTGATGCTAAAAAAAATCCCCATCACACAGGATGGTTAGTTATACAGAGGCATGTGATAAGTAGTCTGCACTAGCAGACTTTGGGTGCATTATGAGGATATCATCAATACAAGAGTGAATAAGGATGCAGTGATACTAAAAGTCCCCATCCTGCAGGATGGTTAGTCATGCAGGGTCATATGTTCAGTAGCCTGCACTGGCAAATTTTGGGTGCAATATGAGGATATCTTCAAGAACAGGAGTGGGAATAAAGTAATTGCAAAACTCTAGGTGCCTCATGCCAACGGGTCTGAAAGGTCTAATAACTGGGCTTTCGGTGATGTAGTGTGGGAGATCATGCCGCAGTTCCTGCTCACAGAGTTTGCACCTGAGTGCTCAGGATTGGGAGATCCGTCACCTGTGGTCACCTGCCACAGATAACGGTAACCCAAGCTGATCCTGGCAACCACTGTGTCGCACAGTCTGGTCGACGTTTTGTGCTGTCCTTAGATATAGGTTTCAGATCTGAACAAATCATAGCGTTTTATACTGGTGCTTTCAGGTCGTTGGGAGTCAGTAATTTCTTTCCTATCAGACCTGAGTGTCTGGAACAATATAGTTTTGACAGTAGAGATAGGGATGCCTAGATCTAATTCAACTTCATCTTTGTTACACGTTAATTTTGCTGCAATGTCTGTCTCATTATGATGGGTTATATTTATGTGTGATGGTATCCATTCAAAGGAGAGTCGAGACCCTCTACTCTGTTCAGCGATTAGGTCATTTATAATTGGGAGTATGAGGTTCTTGCTGTTGATCTTTCAGGAGAAGTTTTCGATTGCTTGAAGAGCAGACTTTGAATAACAAAATATTATTCCTCCTCCAATGTTTTTTAATGTACTGGTAGCTAGTTGTAATGCCGCCAGTTCTGCTTGTGTGGAGGTCAGCCAGATGTTTAACCTGACACTGACAGTCTTTGTGCAAATATTATTTCTATAAAACCTACATGCTGTTGCAGTCCGTCCAGTAGAGGATTGGACTGAGCCGTCGGTGTAGACACAGTGCTCGTGAGATCTTAAATTCTCGATGTAGGAGGCAATGGTTTCGAGTGTGACAGCTTTGAAAAGAGCAAGATTTTCATTACCTTTCTTGGTGACAGGTGTGTATGCAACCCGTCCTCTTAAAAATAACTTTTCCTCTTAAAAAGTCACTTTTCGCTCGTATGCTCGCTATGGCCAAATTTGGACGTAATTTGAAATGAAATTGACTCACAAAAGTGGCGTACTGTTCTGTTGTCTGTTTGAGTCTTCCGGCTTACGCAGACTGGTTAGGAGAGGAAACTTTCAACTAACGTTTTTCATAACGTTTTGAAACTTTATGAGAATTTCCTGCCCACCTAACCTATCAGAGGACCCTTAACTTACTGTTGTTGAAAAAAAATCCCAAATTTATTTTAATTTTTTTTTTCATTTTCAAATTATGTCCACTTTCGGCCATAACCTTAATGGTTGTTGTTACACCTGAATGGTGGGGTACAGATAAAGAGGAATATCAGAGACAGGTAGAGCGCACTTAAAAGGAATGTTGAGTTTAATGAGATTGTACGCATCTTTGCTCAGCCATTTATCATAAAAGAAGTGAGTTGGTATGTCGGCACCAATCAATAGGGTGTTAACAGGATTAATTAATTTGTCTCTGAGCAATGAAGGAGATGTAGGGTCTCTTATGACTTTAAGGCAAAAGGTCGTGTTGACTTGCATGATTCTCTCTAATATGGTTGGAAGCTTCAGTTCTTCTCTCATGTTGATGATTCTTGTGCATCTTGGGGCACCAAGAATTATCCTTATGACTTCATTCTGTACTACTTCAAGTTTGTCCAACTCAGAGGCGGGGAAGTTAATTAAGTGCAAAGCATTATAATCAACTAGAGATCTAACAAACATCATATAGAATAGTCTAGCATATTTAATATTGATACCAATATTCTTACCAATAAGTGTTTTCAATGGTTTTTAGTCTTTTTTTTAACCTACGATGTAAATCGATTACAATGTCACTGTTAGTACCAACTCCAAGATATTTGTGCTGCCTACACGTTTCAATGTTTTTTTTTTTTTTTTTTTTGAGATATATACAAGAGTTGTTACATTCATGTACAGCCACTAGTACGCGAAGCGTTTCGGGCAGGTCCCTGGAATACGATCCCCTGCCGCGAAGAATCGTTTTTTCATCCAAGTACACATTTTAATGTTGCGTTAAACAGAGGCTACAGTTAAGGAATTGCGCCCAGTAAATCCTCCCCGGCCAGGATACGAACCCATTCTGGAGAACTCTGGCTGGAGAACTCTGGATTTAGTTAAAGAGATAACAAGACCACATTCAATGTTTTTAGCAGCGAGTGAATCAAGTAGAGCTTGCAGTCTAGTTTGGGTATTTGCAACAATACATATGCCATCGGCATAATAGATGACGGCTTCGTCAGGTAGTGTGGGAATATCAATTGTTAATATGTGCATCAGAACATTGAACAGTGTAGGACGTAATACTCCACCCTGGGGTGTACGCAACTCAAAGGGTGCACAATGATTGGTGGTCTGGAGTATAACTCTAGGTGACCAAAACACCCCTTGGCAATTACCTCAGAGTAGTGTTTACAGCACAGCGTCTCCTGACACATCGATCGTATTCCACACCCATGTTCCTGTTCTTGTAGTCATAGGTTCTTTTAGGCTGTAGTTGTTGTTGGCTGGCTGTTCTTGTAGGCTGGCTGTTCTTGTAGTCAGGTTATCCTGTAGTCAGATGACAGATTATGCTTTGTTGATTTTATCATTTATGGGAATTTTTGTTGTCCTGGGTAGCAGATTATTTTAGTTAAGTCGTCCGCATGTGTGATGCATTCTCTGTGCTGGAAGGGAGGGAAGTGAGATGCTTGTGTGTTTAAGAGTCGAGGATGGGCAGCTTCCTTGTGGCACCCCACTTTCCAGTTCGATCTATCGCCCAGGTACCCACCAGGTACTTATCTATGGCGGTACTCTGCAACGGCAAGGTGGGACGGAAGAGCACTGGGAAGCTAGCATAGAGAATTGGGGGAAGGGTGCGGGAGGCAGGGGGCCAGAGATAAAGGGAGGGATGAAGGGCACGAGAAGGAAAGATGGAAGGGTGAGAGAGCCAGTACTGGAAATAGGAAGGGAAGTGATCTAATTAACTTTTGGTATAGTCATTTCCAAGCAAGATTACATACTAAGTTGGGTTGATTTAAATTGGAAAATTAAATCTTGTTCTTGAGTATGAGTTACAGGACTGATTGCTTAATTTTAACATGTTTACAGAAGCTAGGAAAATAATGGTGACCAGGGTCACAGCTGACGACGAGTGCCGGGTTCACAACACACAATGACCCATAGTGGCCTGACTCGCCGCAAATAGAACAAAGAGTTCAAAGACTCCGATAAAGAGAGGCAGCATCGCCAAGCTTGCAGCAAATGTTTCACAAACTGGAGTAGGTACTTACGAGGAGAAAGTGTCAATCAAGTATGGCCAAACAGCCCTGTGAAGTGCTACGAAAACAGGGGGGGGGACCGGTACCCAATCACTTGAACCATCCGGGATCGAACGCCGACACTGCAAGACTCAAGGTCATCGCTCTACCGACCGACCCAAGTGGTTGGAGGGATTTAATCCTTGATATCTTTTATTCCACAAACAACGACTGAGGATGAGAGGGATCTGCCATGAAACAGCGACCAGGATGAGAGGGTTCTGCCATCAAACAGTGACACAGGATGAGAGGGTTCTGCCATCAAACAGTGACACAGGATGAGAGAGTTCTGCCATGAAACAGTGACCAGGATGAGAGGGTTCTGCCATCAAACAGTGACCAGGATGAGAGGGTTCTGCCATCAAACAGTGACCAGGATGAGAGGGTTCTGCCATGAAACAGTGACCAGGATGAGAGGGTTCTGCCATGAAACAGTGACCAGGATGAGAGGGTTCTGCCATGAAACAGTGACCAGGATGAGTGGGTTCTGCCATGAAACAGTGACCAGGATGAGAGTGTTCTGCCATGAAACAGTGACCAGGATGAGAGGGTTCTGTCATGAAACAGTGACCAGGATGAGAGGGTTCTGCCATGAAACAGTGACCAGGATGAGAGGGTTCTGCCATGAAACAGTGACCAGGATGAGAGGGTTCTGCCATCAAACAGTGACCAGGATGAGAGGGTTCTACCATCAAACAGTGACACAGGATGAGAGGGTTCTGCCATCAAACAGTGACACAGGATGAGAGGGTTCTGCCATCAAACAGTGACCAGGATGAGAGGGTTCTGCCATGAAACAGTGACCAGGATGAGAGGGTTCTGCCATGAAGCAGTGACCAGGATGAGAGGGTTCTGCCATCAAACAGTGACCAGGATGAGAGGGTTCTGCCATGAAACAGTGACCAGGATGAGAGGGTTCTGCCATCAAACAGTGACACAGGATGAGAGGGTTCTGCCATCAAACAGTGACACAGGATGAGAGAGTTCTGCCATGAAACAGTGACCAGGATGAGAGGGTTCTGCCATGAAACAGTGACCAGGATGAGAGGGTTCTGCCATCAAACAGTGACACAGGATGAGAGGGTTCTGCCATCAAACAGTGACACAGGATGAGAGAGTTCTGTCATGAAACAGTGACCAGGATGAGAGGGTTCTGCCATGAAACAGTGACCAGGATGAGAGGGTTCTGCCATCAAACAGTGACCAGGACGAGAGGGTTCTGCCATGAAACAGTGACACAGGATGAGAGGGTTCTGCCATGAAACAGTGACACAGGATGAGAGGGTTCTGCCATGAAACAGTGACCAGGATGAGAGGGTTCTGCCATGAAACAGTGACCAGGATGAGAGGGTTCTGCCATGAAACAGTGACACAGGATGAGAGGGTTCTGCCATGAAACAGTGACACAGGATGAGAGGGTTCTGCCATCAAACAGTGACCAGGATGAGAGGGATCTGACAGCATACAGTGACCAGGATGAGAGGGATCTGACAGCATACAGTGACCAGGATGAGAGGGTTCTGCCATCAAACAGTGACACAGGATGAGAGGGTTCAAAGTTTCTGCGAAATTTTTCAGACGAGACCTGACTGTTTACCACGAGTGAGTCAGCTGCTGTAGCCAGTCCAGAAGATTGTACAGGGAGTGCCAGGTGCTGTACAACCTGTAGTACCAGATACTGTCCTTCCTGTAGTGCCAGGTACTGTACAACCTGTAGTACCAGATACTGTCCTTCCTGTAGTACAAGGTACTGTACCTCTTGTAGTGCCAGGTACTCTACTTCTGTAGTACCAGATACTGTACTTCCTGTAGTACCAGGTACTGTACTTCCTGTAGTACTAGGTACTGTACCACTTGTAGTGCCACGTACTGTACTTCCTGTAGTACCAGGTATTGTACTTCCTGTAGTGCCAGGTACTGTACTTTCTGTAGTACCAGGTACTGTACTATCCGTGTTTTCTTATATTATTATTACTAAGATAAATGAAATTATATAAGTACAGTATTAAAGAGTCAGATCTAGTAGGACTTGAGATTGAAAAAAGAAAAAAATATGAGAGCAAAGGAGCGAGAGCAGTGGAGGGAGAGAGAGGAAGGGAGACCAGGACAGGGAGAGAGAGGGTGGAAAAGAGGGAGAGAGAGAGAGAGAGAGAGAGGGGGGGAGGGGGAGGTAGAGAGAGAAAGAGGAGGATAAAACAAAGTAAAAGAAGAAAGGAAGGTTAAGTGGGAAACAAAATATGTCCAACACAATCAACTACATCTGAAAGGTTAGGTTAGAGGGTGGAGAATAAGAACAAATTATACAAAACCTAATAAATACACTAAGATCAAAGAGGTTAGGTTAAAGTGGGAAGAATACGAACAATTACAACAAAAATAATAAATACAACTTATGAACAACTTGACGAATTTTAAGTTAAAAGGTTACGAAGTGCACAAACTGCCATATCTAACGAATATCCCTTTAAATGCTAAAATACCCTAACTCTAACAAATAACCCTTGAAATGCATAAATGACCATTTGAGAAATTATCCCTTGAAACGAACAAATGAATATGAGACATTGATTGACGAAACACAAAAAGACAAGCAGGAATATTGATGTAAGTTAAAGTCATGTCTGGTTGGGTGAGTTGGACTAGGTAAGTTAGGTTAAGTCAGTTTGGGTAGGTTTTGTTAGGTAAAACATATTAGGTGGAGGAGGTTAGGTAAGTTATCTTTGCATAGGTTAGGTAAGTTAAGTTAGGTTAGGTTAAGTAAGTTACATTAAGTTAGGTTAGGTTAAGTAAGTTACATTAAGTTAGGTTAGGTTAGGTTGGGTTGGGTTAGGTTAGGTTAGTTAAGTTAGGATAGGTAAGATAGGTTAGGTTAGCTTTATGTTAAGTTAGGTTATGTTAAGTCAGGTTAGGTTAGGTTAGATTGGGTTTAGTTAGGTTAGGTTACGATAAGTAAGTTATGTTAAATTAGGATAGGTTAAGTTAGGTTAGGTATTAAGTTAGGATTGGTTAGGTTATGCATGTTAAGTTAGGTTAGGTTAGGTAAGTTAGGATAGGTTAGGTTATGCAAGTTACGTTAGGTGTGGTTAGGTAAAATATGTTAAGTTTGGATAGGTTAGGTTATGCGAGTTAAGTTAGGTTAGGTTAAGTTAGGTTAGGTTTTGCAAGATAATTTAGGTTAGGTTAAGTTAGGATAGGTTAGGATAGGTTAAGTTAGGTTAAGTTAGGTTAAGTTAGGTTAGGTTGGGTTATGCAAGTTAGGTTATGTTAAGTTCAGATAGGTTAGGTTATGCAAGTTAGGTTAGGTTATGCAAGTTAGGTTAAGTTATGCAAGTTAAGTTAGGCTAGTTAAATTAGGATAGGATAAGGTTAGCAAGTTAAGTAAGATTAGGTTAGGTTAGGTTAAGTTAACTAATTTACATTAAGTTAGGATAGGTTAGGTTTAGTTAGGTTTGGTTAAGTTGGGTTGGGATAGGTTAGTTAAGTTAGGATAGGTTAAGTTAGGATAGGTTAGGTTAGATTATACAAGTTAGGTTAGGATAAGTTAGGTAAGTTACATTAAGTTAGGAGAGGTTAGGTTAAGTTAGGTAAGTTATGTTAAGTTAAGATAGGTTAGGTTAAATTAGGTAAGTTATGTTAAGTTAGGTTATGTTGGGTTAGGTTAGGTTAGTTAATTTAGGATAGATTAGGTTAGATATATATTTTAAAAGAAGTGCAAGTTTGATATGAAAAGCTGAACTAGTTACATTTGGGAGAGATATTTTATGCCTGAAGATGTCTTACAGAACAACATTGATGTCTTAGAGAATAACTTTGATTAACAAAGGTGAGTTAGAGATTACCTTTGATGACTCTTAAAATAACTTTGATAGCTTAGAGAACATCTTTGGGGACTGAGATTAACTTTTTGATAGCTCTGAGAATAATTTTGAGGACATGAGTAGTATTTTGATTACTCTGAGAATAACTTTTTATGTTTATGAAAATAACTTTGATGAATTAAGATGTCTTAGAATGCTTCGCTGATGAAGGAATGTGACTTTGAGAATAACTTTTATGACTGAAATAAACTCTTGATGGCTCTGAGAATAACTTTCATGACTGAGATTAACTTTTTGATAGCTCTGAGAATAACATTTGATGACTGAGAATAACTTTGATGACTGAGATTAATTTTTTGATAGCTCTGAGAATAACATTTGATGACTGAGAATAACTTTGATGACTCTGAGAATAACTTTGATAGTATTCTTAGGGTCTTTGAACTTGTTACTAATATCTTAAAGTCTGTCTTTGATGTCTTTGATTGTGTCTTTGATGTCACGAAGAGTATTTTTGGTGTCTGGATGTGTCCTTGATGTCTCGAAGTGTCCTTGATTATATTTCTTAACAACACATAATTTTAGTTAAGAACAGTGATGAAAGACCCCCTTTAACTATTTTGTGCTCCACGAAGTATAATGGCAGTTAAAAAATTATTGAACGAAGTTACACTTGACTATTTTTTAGTTGAGGGGCGAATAATTTTTGTTAAGAAATGATGAACATGACTATTTTTAGTTGAGAGGCGAATACGTTTAGTTACAAAATTATAAGAAAAGATGATGAATATGGCTATTTTTCCGTTGATTGGCGAGTAAGTTTAGTTAAAAAATTATGAAAGTGACTATTTTTAACTTGATTGGGGAATGATTTAGTTAAGGAACGTTAAGAAAAGAATATCTTGGAACATTTGATTTTAAAGAAAGTGTAAGAGAATGCGGTGAACACAGTGAACATATGGGGAACATGATAAAGAACATAGAAAAAATGTAAATAATGCTGATGAACACAGTGATCATGGTGTGAACATTTTGCAGAACATGGAGAATATGGCAAAGAACACAGTGAACGTGGAAGAGAATGAGAAGAACACAGTGAACTTGCGGGGAATATGAACTTACAGAGAATATGAAAACATGATAAAGAACATAGAAAATATGATTAGAATGTGCAGAGAACATTATGAGACTATGTCAAAGATCACAGAAAAATAGAGAAACTGGTGAAAAATATGAACTGAACATGCTGTGAACATTTGTAGAACATGGAGTGAACACAGAAAACATTGAAGAGAATACGAAGAATACAGTGAATATAGAGAAAATATACAAATATAGTAGGATTAGTGATAGTTTGGATAAGTTGGGGAATAGGTGAGCTGAAGGGATGAGAAGGTAAGGGGGAAAAATATAGCGAGTGGGGAGATAAGGACGAAAGGAATTTGGGGAATGTAAGGGGGTAAGGGCGGGGAGGTAAGGGGTGGGACGGTAGGAGAGGGCAAAGGTTAGGTGTAATTTGGTCATATGATTATTGCTTAGTTGAGTAAACAAAAGGTATTGAGAGTAGGGTGCGATCTGACCGTGTGAATATTAGCACGTTAGTGATTATTTACATAGCTGGGTGAAAAATGGCTATTAAAGGACATGATGTTTACTTTTGATAGACTGGAGAGGGCCTTGATCTGAAATATTTATGTCTGATGAACTAAGGCGGAGGACAATAATTGGAGCTCGGTAAGTTACTTGTTGATTTATTTTACAGAGGTCTGAAATGTAGTTGGGTTTTAAATCTCAGGGGATTTTGGCTGATAATAATTATCTTAAAAGAGCGAACTAAGGTAGGGGACAAAAGCTGAAACTCTGTAACTGCCTAGACCTTATTTATTACTTCTGAAATAGCTACGTTCTAAATTTTAAGGGATTAGGTTAGATACTAAAGAAAATACCGGAGGGAAGTAAGATGGAGGACAAGAGCTAGAGTTCGGTAATTGTTTGGATCTATTTTACTATGTCTGAAATACAGAGGATTTGAATTTCAGAGAAATTGACCTGTTACTAACGAAGATATGAGATGGGGTTAAAGTGGGGGATACTAGCTGGAGCTCGGTAAATGTGTTTTCTTTACTTACTCAGTTAGAAGTACGAATCGTTTAATTTTCAGGAAAATTGATGGGTTATTAACGAAGATTCGAGAGGGAAGTAAGGCGGAGGACAAAAGCTAGAATTTGCTTATTGACTGAATTTGATTTACTACGTCTAAAATAAGACTGTTTTAAATTGGGCTATTAGTAGCGAAAATGTGGTCTCTGACAAATTTTGGTCTTAAACTGAACTCTGATGAAAATTGGTCTGAAAATGGTCTCTGAATATTTTCAGGCTCAAACTGGACTCAAAATTTTTTGGTCTTCAAATGGACTCTGACAATATTTTAATTTCCTCAAAAAGAACTCAGGTGTAGGTAAAACTCTGAAATATTTTGGTCTCAAAGTGGACTCTGATTAATTTGGCTCCTAAAGAGGACTCTTAAATTTTGTTCTTAAAGTGGTCTCTGTTAAATTTTGGGCTTAAACTGGTCTCTGACTAATTTTCGGTCTTATATTGACTCTGACTATTTTCGGATTTCTACTGGACTCTGATTAATTTAGGTCTTATACTGGACTCTGACAATATTTCGGTCTAAAATAATCTCTGTCACATTCTGGTCTTATATGGTCTTTGAAATTATTTGGTCTAAAATGGTCTCTTGTCATATTTGGGTCTAAAATAATCTGTCAAATTTCGTTAAATTTCGGTCTTCATATGGGCTCTGTAAAATTTTGGTCTTAAATGGACTCTGAAGGTCTTCAAATGGTCTCTGATGAAAATCAGTCTTTTTCAGGTGAAATAGCTGTAAATGCGAATAAAAACTAAGAGTCGTGGCTAAGATGTCTGTTTTCCTAAAACAGATTTTCATAAAACTGAACTCTGAAAAATTAGAATTTTCCCCATAAGAACTCTTTAATTAAGAACGAATGAGTGATTTGAAAACAAACAAAAATTGTCCGTAGAGTTTATTCCTGGTAAGATGGGAGGGGACTTTGCCCCCTGAATTTTTTCTATATGAAAGTTCTATAACTATGTTCTCTGAAAATAGTCTTTTTGATTAATTTCTGCCATAAACTCGTATATACACTTCTATGATAATATGAGCTCTGAAATATTTTCCTAAAACTGAACTCTGAAAAATGTTGAATTTTCCCCATAAGAACTCTTAGCAAACTTCTAAGATCTTTGAAATTATTTTTCTCATAAGCCTCTTTAACTCCAAATGAGTGATTTTGAAAACAAACAAAAATTGTCTGAAGAGTTTACCTGGAAAACCGACGCCTCACACACAGTAAAGAAGGGAGCGGACTTTGCCCAGACTTTCTTAACAAACTTCTATGAAATTATTTTTTCTCATCAGAAACCTTTAAATCCATATCGGAAACTGAAAAATTTATAAGGAAACAAGAAGACCTGGCGACAAATGAGAAATTTTGATCTGGAACCCCAGGCGCATCACACACGATATCCCCCCCCCCCAAAAAAAATAACGTGTGTGAGACGCCATCCCTTCTACTCTGTACAGTACTTCCTGTAGTACCAGATACTGTACTACCTGTAGTACCAGATACTGTACTACACGTAGTACCAGATACTGAACTGCCCGTAGTATCAGATACTGTACTACACGTAGTACCAGATACTATACTACCCGTAGTACCAGATACTGTACTACCCGTAGTATCAGATACTGTACTACCCGTAGTACCAGATACTGTACTACCCGTAGTACCAGATACTGTACTACCCGTAGTACCAGATACTGAACTACCCGTAGTACCAGATACTGTACTACCCGTAGTACCAGATACTGTACTACCCGTAGTACCAGATACTGTACTACCCGTAGTACCAGATACTGTACTACACGTAGTACCAGATACTGAACTACCCGTAGTACCAGATACTGTACTACCCGTAGTACCAGATACTGTACTACCCGGAGTACCAGATACTGTACTACCCGTAGTACCAGATACTGTACTACCCGTAGTACCAGATACTGAACTACCCGTAGTACCAGATACTGAACTACCCGTAGTACCAGATACTGAACTACCCGTAGTACCAGATACTGTACTACCTGTAGTACCAGATACTGTACTACACGTAGTACCAGATACTGAACTACCCGTAGTACCAGATACTGTACTACCCGTAGTACCAGATACTGTACTACCCGGAGTACCAGATACTGTACTACCCGTAGTATCAGATACTGTACTACCCGTAGTACCAGATACTGTACTACCCGTAGTACCAGATACTGTACTACCCGTAGTACCAGATACTGTACTACCCGGAGTACCAGATACTGTACTACACGTAGTACCAGATACTGAACTACCCGTAGTACCAGATACTGTACTACCCGTAGTACCAGATACTGTACTACCCGGAGTACCAGATACTGTACTACCCGTAGTATCAGATACTGTACTACCCATAGTACCAGATACTGTTCTACACGTAGTACCAGATACTGTACGACCCGTAGTACCAGATACTGTTCTACACGTAGTACCAGATACTGTACTACCCGTAGTACCAGATACTGTACTACCCGGAGTACCAGATACTGTACTACCCGGAGTACCAGATACTGTACTACCCGGAGTACCAGATACTGTACTACCCGTAGTACCAGATACTGTACTACCCGGAGTACCAGATACTGTACTACCCATAGTACCAGATACTGTACTACCCGTAGTACCAGATACTGTACTACCCGGAGTACCAGATACTGTACTACCCGTAGTACCAGATACTGTACTACCCGGAGTACCAGATACTGTACTACCCGTAGTACCAGATACTGTACTACCCGTAGTACCAGATACTGTACTACCCGTAGTACCAGATACTGTACTACCCGTAGTACCAGATACTGTACTACCCGTAGTACCAGATACTGTACTACCTGTAGTACCAGGTACTGTACTAACTGTAGTACCAGATACTGTACTTCCCATAGTACGCCCCTCGGTTAGCAAGTTGACAGAGCTGAAAATGGTGCAGAATTTGTTGCTCTGACAATGGCAAGAGACATCACTTCCCCTCGTCAATATCCACCACTGACCTCTACCAGACCTCGGGAGGCAACGCCATAGATCTGAGAATGGGGAATTGTAATTGTAGGTGACCCTTGAGGGAGCTGATGACGCACCAGGGACCGGTTAGTCCAAGCGAAGGGAACAATTATGGAAAAGCACCAAGCCATTACTACTAAATAGCACTGGGAAGGGGTCAGGATAAGGATTTGGGGATGGGACGGAGGGAAGGAATGGTGCCCAACCACTTGGACGGTCGGGGATTAAACGCCGAGCTGTATGAAGTGAGACCGTCGCTCTACCATCAAGCCCTTGTGGTTGGACAAAAGTTTTGTCCAGCCGGACCACCTTGAGCCTCATGTACTGCCCCTACACCTCACCAATTGTAATTGTTGACGAGACCAGTAATTGTAATCAACGACAAACACATGTGCAACTAACACGTGCACGACAAACACATGGGCGACAAACACATGCACGACAAACACATGTGCGATTAATACATGCGCGGCAAACACATGCACGACAAACACATGCACGACAGACACATGGGCGACAAACACATGTGCGATTAATACATGCGCGACAAACACATGGGCGACAAACACATGCACGACAAACACATGTGCGATTAATACATGCGCGGCAAACACATGCACGACAAACACATGCACGACAAACACATGTGCGACTAACACATGCGCAACAAACACACGTACAACACATGTGCGACTAACACGTGCGCGACAAACACATGCACGACAAACACATGTGCGAAAACACATGCGCGACCAACACAAGTACAACACATGTGCGACTAACACGTGCGCGACAAACACAGGCGTGCGAGGAACCAGGTGACCAAGCATCACTCCTCGCCAGGTGAGAGAAGAGGGTGATAAGCCACTCTCGTGGCCCGAGGGTCACCCAAACACACAAGATTACTTGTTACCTTGCGGTACCAGTCACCGGCAGAGCTTTGGGTGACGTGTGCACTGGATGACGTGTGCACTGGATGACGTGTGCACTGGGTGACGTGTGTACTGGATGACGTGTGCACTGGGTGACGTGTGTACTGGATGACGTGTGCACTAGGTGACGTATGCACTGGGTGAAGTGTGTACTAGGTGATGTGTGTACTGGGTGACGTGTGTACTAGTTGACGTGTGTACTGGGTGACGTGTGCACTAGGTGATGTGTGTACTGGATGACGTGTGCACTGGGTGACGTGTGCACTGGGTAACGTGTGTACTGGATGAGATGTGCACTAGGTGACGTGTGCACTGGGTGAAGTGTGCACTAGGTGATGTGTGTACTGGGTGACGTGTGCACTAGGTGATGTGTGTACTGGATGACGTGTGCACTGGGTGACGTGTGCACTGGGTAAAGTGTGTACTGGATGAGATGTGCACTAGGTGACGTGTGCACTGGGTGAAGTGTGCACTAGGTGATGTGTGTACTGGGTGACGTGTGTACTAGGTGATGTGTGTAATGGGTGACGTGTGCAATAGTTGACGTGTGTACTGGGTAACGTGTGTACTGTATGACATGTGCACTAGGTGACGTGTGCACTGGGTGAAGTGTGTACTAGGTGATGTGTGTACTGGGTGACGTGTGTACTAGGTGACGTGTGTACTGGGTGACGTGTGCACTAGGTGATGTGTGTAATGGGTGACGTGTGCAATAGTTGACGTGTGTACTGGGTGACGTGTGTACTGTATGACATGTGCACTAGGTGACGTGTGCACTGGGTGACGTGTGCACTAGGTGATGTGTGTACTGGGTGACGTGTGTACTGGGTGAAGTGTTCACTGGGTGACGTGTGCACTAGGTGAAGTGTGCACTAGGTGACGTGTGCACTGGGTGAAGTGTGCACTAGGTGAAGTGTGAACCAGGTGACGTGTGCACTGGGAGAAGTGTGCACTAGGTGACGTGTGCCCTGGGTGAAGTGTGCACTAGGTGATGTGTGTACAGGGTGACGTGTGCACTGGGTGAAGTGTGCACTAGGTGACGCGGCACTGGGCGAAGTGTGCACTGGGTGAAGTGTGCACTATGTGACGTGTACTAAACTAGTTGTGCTTGCGGGGGTTGAGCTCTGGCTCTTTGGTCCCAGAGTTCACGTGTGCACACTGGATGAAGTGTGCACTGGGTGAAATGAGCACTGGATGAAGTGTGCACTGGGTGACGTGTGCACTGGATGACGAGTGCACTGGGTGACGTGTGCACTGGATGACGTGTGCACTGGGTGCAGTGTATACTGGGTGACGTGTGCACTAGGTGACGTGTGCACTTGGTGAAGTGTTCACTAGGTTGACGTGTGTACTGGGTGACGTGTGTCCTAGATGAAGTGTGCACTGGGGGAATATGCACTGGGTGAAGTGTGGACCGGATGACGTGTGCACTGGGTGAAGTGAGCACCGGGTGAAGTGTGCACCGGATGACGTGTGCACCGGGTGAAGTGTGCACTGGGTGACGTGTGCACTGGGTGAAGTGTGCACCGGATGACGTGTGCACTGGGTGCAGTGTGTACTGGGTGACGTGTGCACTAGGTGACGTGTGCACTGGGTGAAGTGTGCACTAGGTGACGTGTGTACTGGGTGACGTGTGCACTAGGTGACGTGTACTCACCTAGTTGTGCTTGCGGGGGTTGAGCTCTGGCTCTTTGGTCCCAGAGTTCACGTGTGCACACTGAATGAAGTGTGCACTGGGTGAAATGAGCACTGGATGAAGTGTGCACTGGGTGACGTGTGCACTGGATGACGTGTGCACTGGGTGACGTGTGCACTGGATGACGTGTGCACTGGGTGAAGTGTGCACTTGATGACGTGTGCACTGGATGACGTGTGCACTGGATGAAGTGTGCACTGGGGGAATATGCACTGGGTGAAGTGAGCACTGGGTGACGTGTGCACTGGGTGAGGTGTGCACCAGATGAAGTGTGCACTGGGTGAAGTGAGCACCGGGTGAAGTGTGCACCGGATGACGTGTGCACTGGGTGACGTGTGCACTGGATGAAGTGTGCACTGGGTGAAATGAGCACTGGATGACGTGTGCCCCGGGTGAAGTGTGCACTGGATGACGTTTGCACTGGATTACGTGTGCACTGGGTGACATGTGGACTGGATGACGTATACACTGGGTGAAGTGTGCACTGGATGAAGTGTATTTATCTAAAGGGAGCCGGTGGCTGAGCGAACAGAACACTGGATCCGTAATCCGGGTGTCCCGGGTTCGATCCCTGGAGCTGGCGAGAAACAATGGGCAGAGTTTCTTTCACCCTGATGCCCCTGTTACCTACCAGTAAATAGGTACCTGGCAGTTAGTCAGCTCTCACGGGCTGCTTCCTGAGAGTGGAGGCCTGGTCGAGGACCGGGCTCCGGGGACACTAAGCCCCGAAATCATCTCAAGATATCCTAGTTGTACTTACTTAGTTGTGCTTTCGAGGGTTGAGCTCTGGCTCTTTGTTTCCGCCTCTCAACTGTCAATAAATTAATGTATAGGTTCTTGAGCCTACTGGGCTCTATCATATCTACACTAGAAGCTGTGTTTGGAGTCAGCCTCCACCACATCACTTCCTAATGCTTTCCATTTGTCTACTACTCTGACACTGAAAATATTCTTTCTGTCGTCTCTATGACTCATTTGGGCACTCAATTTCCACCTCTGTCCCCTAGTGCGTGCGCCCCTTGTGTTAAATAGTCTGTCTTTATCTACCCTATCAATTCCTCTGAGAATCTTGTATGTGGTAATCATGTTCCCACTAACTCTTCTGTCTCCCAGTGACGTGAGATTTAATTCCCGTAGTATCTCCTCGTAACTCATACCTCTCAGTTCGAGTACTAGTCTGATGGCAAACCTTTGAATCTTTCCCAGTTTAGTCTTATGCTTGACTAGATATGGACTCCATGCTGGAGCCGAATACTCCAGGATTGGTCTTACATATGTGGTATACAAAGTTCTGAAAGATTCCTTACACAAGTTTCTAAAGGCCATTCTTATGTTTGTTTGCCAATCTGGCATATGCCGCTGAAGTTATCCTATTGATATAAGCTTCAGGGGACAGGTCTGGCTTGATATCAACCCCCAAGTCTTTCTCTCTCTCGGACTCTTGAAATATTTCATCTCCCAAATGATACCTTGTATCTGATCTCATGCTGCTCTCACCTCTCTTCATTACATTACATTTTCTTGGGTTAAACTCTAACAACCATTTGTTCAACCATTCCTGCGGCTTGTCCAGGTTTTCTTGAAGAATCAAGCTATCCTCTTCTGTCTTAATCCTTTTCATAATTCTGATGTCGTCAGGAAACATTGAGAGGAATGATTCTATTCCCTCTGGGAGATCATTTACGTATATCAGAAACAGGAGAGTTCCGAGTACAGAGCCCTCTGGGACTCCACTGGTGACTTCATGCCAATCTGAGGTCTAACCCCTCACTGTAACTCTCTGCTTCCTATTGCTTAGGTACTCCTTTATCCACTGGAGCGCCCTATCAGTTACTCCTGCCTGTTTCTCCAGCTTATGCATCAGCCTTTTATGGGGTACTGTGTCAAAGGCTTTCCGACTGTCCAAAACAATGCTGTCCGCCCATCCTTCTCTTTCTTGCTTAATCTTTGTCACCTGATAGTCACCCATTAAGCCTGAAAGGCAAGATTTACCCTCCCTGAATCCATGTTGATGGGTTGTCACGAAGTCCCTTCTCTCCAGATGTGTTACTAGTTTTTTTTCTCATGCTCTTCTCCATCACCTTGCATGGTATACAAGTTCAGGACACTGGCCTGTAGTTCAGTGGCTCCTGTATGTCACTCTTCGTATATTGGGACTACATTAGCCGTCTTCCATATTTCTGGTAGTTCTCCCATCTCCAATGACGTACTATATCCTGTGGAGAGTGGCAAGCAAAGCGCTCCTGCAAACTCTTTCAATACCCATGGTGAGATTCCGTCCGGGCCAACAGCCTTTCTCACGTCCAGACCCAACAGATGCCTTTTGACCTCATTTCTTGTAATTTCGAACACTTCCAAGGACGCCTGGTTTACTGCCACCTCTTCTAGCACAGTGACCCTCACACTAACATACTCGTTCCTGGTTCTCTGGTATCTCTCTGTCTGCTTTCTGGTATTCTGTCATTTCGGAAGTCCCTCCACGCCCTTTCGTTCAGTTCCTTTGCTTTCATACATGCCCTATTAAACCACGAATTCCTCTTTTGCTTTTCGTTTTTTCTGTCGGGCTGAGATAAACCTGTTTATTGCCTCCTGACACTTTTGGGTAACATAGTCTATCATATCTTGTACGGATCTAGTTCTGAGTTCAGTGTCCCACGATATATCCCTTAGGAATTTTGTCATCTTCTCATAATTTCCCTTTCGGTACGCCAGCCCTTAATTTCCCAATTATTTTTTTGATGAGATAATTCCTAGCTCTACCAGGTACTCAAAGATCAATACACTGTGATCACTCATTCCCAAGGGGACTTCGATCTTAACTTTCCTTACATCCGACTAATTTAGGGTAAATATCAGATCAAGCATAGCTGGTTCATCCTCTCCTCTCATTCTTGTCGGTCCCTTGATGTGCAGACTTAGAAAGTTTCTTGTTGCTACGTCCAGCAGCTTAGCTCTCCATGTGTCCGGTCCTCCATGTGGGTCTCTGTTCTCCCAATCAATCTTCCTGTGATTGAAATCTCCCATTGATTATAGGTCTGGATCCGTCCCTGCTAGCTACAGAAGCTGCTCTCTTAATTATATATGTGGTGGCCATGTTGTTTCTACCAGATTCCTGTCTGGTACTTCTGTCGTTTGTTAGTGGGTTATATATGACTATTACTAAAATTTTTTGTCCTCCAATTGCTATGGTACCTGGTATGTAGTCACTGAAATCTTCACAGCCCTGAATAACAATCTCTTCAAAACTTCAGCCTTTTCTTATCAGCAGAGCTACACCACCACCTCCTCTTCCTTCTCTCTCTTTCCTCACTACATAGTAGTCCTGTGGAAACACTGCATTTGTTATGGTTTTCGTTTGCATTGTTCCTGTGAGTGCTATGAACTGAACTCAGAACCCACTGAACTCAGTGGACACTGAACTCAGAATGTCTGGGTTTTCTTCTAGTGCCAATTCTTCAGGTTCACTTGTTTTATTTG